ATTAATATTTTTGTTTATATTATATATAATATTATAAGGCAACCTTTGTCCTTAATTTCTTTTTACTAATAAGAACATTATTCAATTAGTATCAATAAATATCTACATTATTTTAGTAAAAAGTCCTTATTATTATTGTCTTATTTATTTTTACATTTTATTATAATTTTTAAGAATTATTTTTTCTTAGTACTTATTTCTCTTGCCTTTTGACAGTATCATTTGTCAGACAAAAAATATTTAAAATAAAATAAATATTTTTGTTTTTATTATATTTAATATTATCTACAGTAATCTTCATCCTTATTTTTTTATCTAAGACGACCATTATTCAATTAGTGTCAACCAATAGCCACATATTTTTAATAAACAGTCAGAATTATTATTTCCTTATTTATTTTTACTACTTATTGTTTATTTGATTATAATCCTAGTCCTTATTATTTTTTAAGAGTATTTATACTTAGCACTTATTCTGCTTGTCTTTTAACATTATTGTTTATCGGTAAAAAAATATTTAAAACAAAATTAATAATTTTGTATATACATATATATATATATATATATATATATATATATATATATATATATATATATATATATATATATATATATATATATATATATATACCATTTTTCAATAATGTTTGCTTGAGCTTAGTTCTTTTTATAGTGGTTCATTTAGCTATTGGTCATAAATAAATTAATCAAAAATTAATATTTGATTGCAAGATTTATTGGTATGTTCCAAGGAAACTCCGCCCTACTCAGCAATACATTTACTTATTTAAGTACCATTGACCAATCCTGTTAAACTGTAGTTTTGTGACTAACCCACTTTCTTGGGTGAATGATGTATTGCTGAGGAAGATGGAGTTTCCTCTAAACGTACAAATAAATGTTGCAAAAAAATATTATTTTTTGATTAATTTATTTATGACCAATAGGCAAATGAACCACTATACACACACACACACACACATATATATATATATAAGGAGGTAGAGCTGAGAGGTCTGAATCGATTAAGAGTTTATAATGGGCCAGCCTCCATGGCCGCTACAAACTCTATGCAAGTAAAGGAGTGTCCATCACCCCCAAGGTCGATGGCGCAAGAACCTACCAGCCCCCCTCCTCCCATGATATTTTATTGCTCAAACTTTTCTTAAAAACCGAAGAAGCTATGGTATAATTAGAAAAAAAAACGTAGATTATATACAACCACACTTGTTGTGGTCTGTTTCCCCCTTGTCTTTAACTCCGAATAATTAAAATAACCATCGAAATATGCCCCTCTCAAAAATTTTGATAAAAGCGCCATAAAACCCCCTTCTGGGCACCCCTGGTCGATTATTGACAGGGTGTCTGAATCCGTATAGGGTATGTAAATACGCGGGCTGGACCGACTGTTTCTGTTCTCATTTGACGATCTGGAACTTGAACGATGTCTGAAACTAATTCCCAATTGATTTCCAGAATTATTTTGTAAGGAATAGTCAATTTTCTTTGTTTTATATGAGTTAAAATTGTAGTGGCTAAAACTTGGTCACTGTGTGCTTTTTCTAAAATTTTATCGAATGTTACGACATTTGCAAACTTTGTTCGCTAAGACAATTTTCTCGTAAGGGTATTGTAACACGAATAAATTTGGGCTCTGCGAAAGCCATCAGCAATTGAAACAAATTGTTTGCATTTATCTGATAACACACGTTGCTGAAAACTATAATTCAGCTAAATCTTTTTGAATTGGCAAAAAACTCAGGAATGGTTTGTTGTTCTTTTGGAAAAAAACATTAAGAAAATAAGCACTGTAGCCTAGCACGGGCTACTTCAACACTTTTTTGGGGATTAGCATTTTTTCGAAAGCCTCAATTAGGTCAAGGGAGGGATTTTCCACTGGTTTCTCTGGGGTTAATAATGTTGCTAATTTACAGTAATGGGCTGAACTCACAGGTGGATCTACTGGGGGGGGGGATGGCTTTCGAGCTGAAGCCCTCCCCCAAAATGGTAAAATATTACCATGCTTTCTGAAAAAAAATTATTTCTAAAAGTATTATTGTTCGTCTAACTAAATTTAATAGGACTTAAAGAATCACTTATACGCCCGTTCATGTAGGTACTTAGTTTCTTTCTTTCTTACAAAGTAATTATCGTAATATATACATACAAAAAAAAAAAAATCTTTCGGGCTGAAGCCGCCCCCGCCCTGAAAATTAAATCCTTTATCCGTTAGAGGCTGAACCTATACAAACACATAAACGTTATGCTATCTTAGTTTTATCAGTGAGATCTGTCATAGTGTTATAGTTTTAAATAGTCCAGAGTAACAAGACATTTTTTCTCTGTTAGAAACAAAGTTTTCAAACGTAATATTAGTGTTAATTTTATACTTATTAAATTTTGAGTATCATGTTTTTTTGTGATTCTTGAATAGTAGGCAAAAGTAGCTGAAATTGATCTGAATTCATTCTAAATTAGATAGCAACGGATTTAAATAATAATTGTAGAGAAACAAATATTGTAAATATATATTATTCGAATAAACGTACTTGTTCACTTCGTCGCCAATTAACTGAATTTTATTATACCATTGGAGATTATAAAATGTTGATGTTCATTTTCACATTAAGATAAACCTATTGGATTAATGAAATATAACTTGAAATAATTATCTATAGGTTATTTATACAAGTAATTATTACTTGTAACACATGTAATTATTCACAATACGGTAATAAAGGAGTTTACAGTGAATCAGTGTTAACACATGCCCTTAAACCTGAATTAGGCCATTTCCCTCCCTTCCCAATCCAAAATATCTGAAATTCACTCAAAAAATGTAAACAAAAAAAAATTTTGGACTTAAACTTAAAGAATCACCGAAATAATGACACCCCAGATGGGTGTCATCGGTGAGACAATAGGACCAGAAAATACAGGATGGATGGCAACCCTGTATGGTTTCCATCGGCACTTCAACTTACCTGTTCAGAATTCTTAATTGTTTTACAGCAACTTATAATCAGGACTCTTTTATAGCGGACCTTCTATTGTGACCAGTACTGCTGCATAGGTGATCTATATGAAAAATACACTACAAAGACAGATCACTATTCCCAAAACCCTTTCCCTCAAAAAACAAATAAAAAATAATAATAATAATAAAATACAGACTTACAATATTTCCTTCCTGCAAGATTTTTTTTTTTTCTTCACAAATCATTCATTAATCAGGACTCTGAACCAACTACTACAAGCTCTTGAACTTTTATGAAATAGAGTCCGAAATTTTTAATGAACTATTAACTTAATGAACTATTAAGGAGAATAGTTCATTCTTAATAAGACAGAATATTGTATTACTCAATAAATAAAAAGGAAAAGTGTAAATTATTAATGATCTTGAAAACATTTTCCCTATCCATTGATTAATTTTTTTTAAACTTCTTAGAATAAAAAATAAAATAAAATTACAGTATAGGACTTTAATGGAAGTCTTGGTCCGTTAAAAAAAAAAAATTCTAGAAAAATCCTGATTGCTAAATGACAACCCACTACTACCTGTTCGTCAACTTTCGAAGTGCCTTGTGATGTGATAACATAATAAGGTTTAAGTTACATGTGGCCCTGTGTGAAATGTGATTACTATTAAAAATTCTTCATCTAAATAAATTGAGAGGTGTGCGGGTCAGGGAGATGAGCTAGCTTGTCTGCTATTAAACTTTGATTTAGAAAAGGTCATATGTGACTTTTGAAAACCATACTGACACCTTTACTAATTTCGTTAAAATGATTGGCTTTGCAGGTGATCTGGAGTTGATTACAAGATCCTTAAAATCTCTCAAAAGTAAGCTTCATAAGTTCAGCGAAATGGGAAGTATTTGTATTTGTGAGCAGCAACCAGTAGAGATGTGTTAATTCACCTTCCATTATATTGATCAGTTAACACAACATTAAAGCTAATAAGTGTATTTTGATTCGAAAAAACATCTTTTTAGGAAGACAAGCATCCCTCTGTTTTTATGCAAGATCGAGTAGTATTAATAATAAAAAGAAAATAGATAGAGATAAGTAACAGTTTATTCCTTTTTATTCCCTTAACTTTCAGGACATTGAAGAAAATAATTAAATCATAAAGTATTTTAAGAATAAATTACCATAAAGGAAATCCATTTTTTTGCTTAAACTATAGCGGGAGTATTTGTTTAAAGCTGCTCTTTTGTTTGTCCCTGAGCCACAAGGAAATAAATACCTACATAAGTTTTCAAAAATAAAATTGCATATCACATGGGGTAGATGAAATAACTATCACTTTAAATTTAATTGATTTGAAGTCATATGACCCAGATCAGATTCAAAAAGGTCACAAAATCAACAATATTTGATATTTTATGAATTATGGAGTATTTAATTATTTAGTACAATGAAACAAACGCAGATATAATAATAAACATATTTTTATTAGCCCATCATTAAATAAATCTATGAATATAATATCAAATTTAAAATGTATTTACAACAAATGAATAAACATAAAAACAAGAAATTTGAACGACCGCGTACTTGATTTATGATTTAAAGATTACAAACAAACCATTATTAATATATTTCACATACTATAATACAAATGTGTGATTAATATTTGCATCGCGAAACATGTTTATAAAACAAGCTTAACATATACTCTCAAAATGCTTATCGAATACTATTATTTCCATAAAATGATTCATGAATGGCTTGATACAATTACATATTTGTTTACAATTCATAGAAGAAAACAAACCAGGCTATTCTAAAAATTGTAATTTCACCATTACTTGTTAATCAAGTAATTTATGACTGCAATTAATAAATAAGAAAGAATACAGTGACAGAATCTTAATATACAAACAAACTTGAATAACCAATACACAAGAAAACAATTAAGAGTAGGAATACTACTGAATACTAGACTTTATACACATCTTAACATTACCACCAACAAAATACACAAAATAAAGAAAAAAAAAAAAAAAGAAGAAAAGCTATGTGCAGTGATAATTACATCAGTGTATGTTCTGAGTGAGGCTTACAAAGTTTTGTCAACGAAATAATACAATATTCGTAAATGCTTTTACAGTAAAATATATGCCCACAGCATTTTAATATTCATTAAATAAATATTAATTTCTACTTATTTTAAATATAATACGGCTAAGTTATTGTTTATGTACAAATAAATGATGAAAAAAACTATTTAAGAAAAAGTTCCGTATAGGTAAAATGTGGGCAGTGCAATATTTTCACATGTATTAGATACATCATATAAGATTATTGGTTATTTGTCAAATGAAATAAATAAGATCCACGTACTAAACAAAATTATGCACAGAAGAATAAAAATTATTAACAATTTCTTATATTCTCCCTCATACATTTAAAATCTAGACATACATTGATAAACTATTTCATACATCTAACCACAAATTTAGACACCATGTACAATGGGGCTTCTTAATGGGAGATGGTGAAGAGAAAGGAAATACAGCTCCATTATTTATACATTTATGTTCAATAACTTTATCCAATATAGGTGCTACATAAAAATGGAATGTAGAATTTAATATAAAGTACCTTAAAATATTTGTAACTAACAAAAACTAATTAGTCTTAAGAAGGAGACTTTAGTTGGAAATTCATCATGCATATCTGACATGGAAGCCTAATCTACAGGTCTCTTCCGAAGGTCTAGGAATAATACAACAAATTTGTATGATTAAGTAGCATGCCACAAGAATGCTCTCAGAACAGGTGATAGGATTAAAACTATTATCTATATATAAAACAATACATGAAGAAAAAAAAAAAAAAAAAGCATTCTTGAGGCTCTACAAAGGGAAAAATAGAATACAGAAATGAAATAATAATAATAATAATAAAAAAAGGATAGGTGCAAGACATTCACAGGTAGAAAAAAAAAAAAATAAGTGGAATCATTTCCCAATCACTTTAATAACAAATAATTGATTCAACAACTCTTCAGAAAAATATTATAATACTGAATTTAAAAAATCAAAACAAGGTGTATTTAAAGGTGGAATTAATGATCATGATTGGAAAATGATTAACTATATTGTCTACAAGAATTTACTGGTCAAAAAAGGGTAGCTGTTGAGCCCACAAAGAATACCAAAGTATGATTTATTTTGTGTACAAATAGATTGCCACAATGAGTCCATATAGACCTAATACTTCAGCAAAAATTAAAATAAGAATCATTCCGACAAACAATCGTGGTTGTTGAGCAGTTCCCCTTACGCCTGCGTCACCTACTATTCCAATGGCAAAGCCAGCAGCAAGACCACTAAACCCAACAGCCAAACCAGCTCCAAGATGCATGAAACCCCTATAAGACAAAAGATATTAATAATTGTAAATTATTTCTAATCAAAATTCTATGATACAAAGAACAAACTACAAAAGAAAAAATTAAATGATGCCTCATTTAGCAGGAAAACCACCCATTCATTGAGACATACATAGAGGCTTTTGGGTACTAACAGTTATAATTTGGTAAATTTCTACCACTCAAGTTAACAATGAGTAAAAAATCATTGTCTTGTAGATGAAATTAAAATGACTCATTATCTATTGCATTCTGCCTCAGCAGAAGGTTTAAATACTGAACTATATAGGTATAGATTGTATACAAATTTCATATAAAATAGGATAAAAAACATAAGAAAAAGAATATTAATAACGATAATTTACTTGTATAGTGTATATTTAGCAGGAGGATCAAGAGCTCCTGCAATCAGCACAGCAACAACCAGGCCGTAAATAGCAATAATACCAGCCATGACAACAGGAATAATGGATTTCATAATCAACTCGGGCCGCATAACAGACATGGCAGCGATACCTGTTCCTGATTTCGCAGTTCCATAAGCAGCACCAAGAGCTGAAAATATATGAAAATTATTAGATGTGAACATTAAGGCATCAATAAATATTATGAAGGGAATTTTGTAGTAACATAGATACTAATGATAATAAAATAAGTTGATGTAAAAGACTAAGGAGGCTATTTTACCAATGCATAAATTAGGATAGGATAATTTAAACTAACATAGTAATAAATTATTTAATAAATCGAAAAGAAGCAGGCAGACTGGAGGTTACGATGGTTGAGGGTGTTTTAAGTAAAGCATCAATTTTAACATTCTTGAGTCTCGCAGTGCCGGTTCAAATCTAGCCAGGACGTGTTGTAATTTATTTAGCGAAGAACTCATGGAATAAATTTCTTCGTATTCTGGTTAAAATAGATTTAGTCATACTACTGGAACCCTCTCCTCCTATGACAGAAATGGGGGTATTCGAGGATAGAAAAAAAAAAAAAAAAAAATGATTCTCCTGAAAAATGGGAACAAGTATAATGTTCCTCAATTTTTCTCTATCTTATAATTTTATCCATGACCTCAGATTATATCAATTATTGAATAAAAGAGATTCATCAAATATTGAGCTAACAAAAATTGATTTATTCTGAAAGATATTCAGGACTGAAAAAAAGAAAGAAAAAAAAAATGGTGAATTTACTTGTGGAGTACTACATTTAATAATAATAGTTGTCTGCGATTTAAAAGCATTAGCATAAAAAATTGAAGTAATTAACTTTCAATGGTTAGTAAAGTTTGTTAATTTGATGATTTTATTAAAAGTTATAATAAATTACATGTTTAATTGTTAGCATAACATTATTTTAACATAACATACTTAAACACCTAAAGTAACACTGATGAATACCACCGAAGTTATCACTCTGAACATAAATCATTATTCGATTTTTATCAATTATACATAACTAGTTGCTCATAAGGTGAATAAAATACCTTCCATAAATCACTTTAAAATAAATGGAACTAAACAAGCAATAACATATATGGATCTTGTTACCCTTAAAATTTTTACCCAAGAAGAACTAGATAGAAACATGATCATATATACTGAATGTATAGGAATCTTGAATCTTGGTATGTTAATCAGAACTGACAATAAAAATCTTAACGGCTGGTTTACATGGCTAACATATACATAACAAGGTGCCTTACAGAACAAAATTCTAACACAATAAATTAATAAATTTGCTAACAATGTAAGTGTTGAAAACTATTCTCCATAAATTAACAAGTACTAAATTATATTTTAAAAATTAGGGATACATGGGTAATAAGGTTCACTAATTTTCTGCTTATGTAAATTCTAACTTCAGATTCATAAAAAAATATAAGGCCAAAACCTTGTATAAAAATTGAGTAAACTGAATAACTTTCTTAATACTGTACAGCAATTATTACATAATATGATACTTAGTGATATGAATGGCAATGGTATTACCATGATATTTAAATCTTTAAATTAAGTGGATACACACTTAAAATTTTAACAAAATGTTATAGACAAAAATAAAAATGAACTGTTTCAGAAGCAAATGCAGTAATAGGGCAACAGAAATTAAGAATTTTCTACAAATTTATTGAATTTTCCACTAGAAAAAAACTATACTAGCTTTCTGGCCAACTTAAAATTGAATGGAATTATTTATATCAAATGATAAGAATACTACTTACTACATTAATGCAAGTAATTTTTGTAATCACCTAACAATAGCTTAAAAAAAATTAAATAAGATAAAATGTAGGAATGATGATTTTTAGCAAATTAATTAAAAATCATTAAGAAATTGTAAATACACCTTTTAAATATCCTCTAAAGTTTGAAAAAATTTGATAAGTTTACATACAAATGAAGGTAGCACATGGGAAAAGATGCCACACCCACTTTTTGAAATGGGCACCTCAATGGTTTGTACTAAATAAAACTATTAAAACCTGAATTCTTAATACAGGTTTTACTTTTGCTAATAGTAAATTCTTTTTAAGCTTCAAAGCATTATCAGTTTAATTATACTGAAGAAATGAGGATCAAATGCTAGAAAATAACTTAGGTAATCAGTAAATAATATTACTATGACAGAAATATTACTAATAATAGATTATTCTAGTAAGTTATCAATAGATAATAAGAACATTCATTAATGTTAAAGATATAATGAATTACAGTAAACAAGAGACCCGATGAACTGAATTTTAAAATGTGAATCATCTAACAGAAACATATATATATATATTACTGTTATAATCACTACAGGATAATAATTTAATCACACACAAAAAAAAGAAAATATAACAATAAAAAGAAAGTAAAAGTGGGATATCTTGAATCATCAAGAGAATAACGGGAAAGCAACAAGTCAAAATTGGATATGTGGAAAATTTAACAGAAAAAAGTAACAAAACTATAAATTAAATTGAATACGGCCTTAGTTAATATAATTATAAATTTCAATGGTATTCAAACAACCTTAGATACAACAAAACACACATACATTAAAAGTGGGCGGGTCCCTTCCAACATATGTTCTCCCCAATAAAAGCTCAAAATAACAATAAAAACCTCAATGATTGTGTATTTAAATAATTGTTGTCAACAAATAGAAAGACTACAATAAGATTTCCTTCAAAAAAATGGCTAGGAGATCATCTTTAAGTCAATATAATGTTTCATTGCAATTCTTATTAAATGCAAAAATTTTTGAACCCTTTATTATTTCCAAAAAAATTTGCTATTTAAAGAATTTAAAACAAAATTACATTACTATGCAAATAACAAAATACAATGATAACTCAACATGCAATAAGTTGCCAAGTTTCTGGGAGTAACATGTAAATAAAATAACATAACCATTAACATTAAACAACCATGAATATACTTAATAAAATCAAAACAAATATACAAGCAACACAAAATTATTAATTTGATGTTAATAAGTTTCTGGCCTCAAAAAGTGAGCAGAATCCATAGAATTATTTCAACTTCTAATCTAATAACAATAAAAATGGACAGGTTATTAGCACTTGTGTTTAAAAATGCTAGCTAGAATATTTTTTTTAATGAAACGGACATAACTACGAAAATTGATAACTCACCGCTAAATATCATAGCTGAAGCGGCTCCCATAACTCCAAAAAATGGTCCGTAAATTGGGTTATCGGCTGACATTTTCAGTGGGTTAATTCCTGAACAGGAGCAAGTACCTCAGATGACAGAAATAGAAATGGACCAAAAGCTGTCTTTACACCCCTAGACTTGCTGAACGATCATGTGATTGCAAGGATTTTCGACCAAGGACTCTATGTAAGGTTGCCTCTCATTGGCTGAACTCCGAGACCTAGAGGTTGGAGAACGAATCAAAATAGCCGTAACAAAGTGATATTTAACGTCACTGAGTATTATTGGTTGTCTTAAATTCTTGCCAACTAAATTTTTTCCAATTTTATTAATATTCAATAATATGATTCTATATGATTTAATCAAACTTTTAAAGAAATATTTCAAGTTTAAAAAATAATGTCACATTTAATGTATTAAATGACTGATGTAGTAAAGGACCTAAATTCGAAAATATATTTGATAATAAATTAATGCAAATAATTTTATATTTCATTTATACATCTGTTAATTTTTAGTTATAATATATAATTTTGTTTTGAATTTGTAACAGTCTTATACCATAACCTTTTGTTCAATATTGATAGGAAGGTTGTTTCTCTAGTTTATCGTCTTCATAGATTTACTGTGATTCTATTTCCTTTTCGCATTGGATTATTTAAGTATTGAAGTTTTTTTTTTACTATCCAATGGTAATCTATGTTGCGATGATGGTTTTGTTTAAAAAAAAACTTCAATGTTTTGATTGTAGATTTAGATATTGGCTGTAATATTTTTTAACAATCCTTCAGCTGTCATTATACTCAATTTTTGGCATTTACAAATTGTTAATGTATGAATTTCAAAATCCACATAGCCTGGTCAACAATTGTTTGAATAGGGAACTCTTAATTCATATAGGAAGTTTTAGATAATATGATTTATCTGTTTCTTATTATCCAGTTTTAAATTTACTTACATTACAATGTTTTGTACTACAATATCTATCTATTTGTTATTTTTAGTTGAAGTAATATAATGCTACTGTGTCCCTTTTGGATTACCTGTCATCTTTCGTTATGATATTAAAGTTCTTTTCCTTTTTAAATTTAATTTTGCCTTTTACCTTTCTGTCAAAATATTTACGTTACATAGTCTTTTCTTTTGAAATATTGTAAATTTATTGATTTGTGAGTACTGGTGCAAGTTCCTATATTCAGCACTAATTCCATTGAAGATATCTATCAATCAAATTAATTCCATTCATGAGTTCATTGGTGAGTTTAGGAATCGCCTGATGAATATCAGATGAGCCCTGTGCTGAATTTAAGAATTTGTCCCTGGCTTCTTTTCTTTAAACCTCTATTCTACATTGTTTTTTTAAATTTTTTTTAATGAATCATTTTATAATCTAATAAAGTTTTAGAAAATGGAAGCATCTTATAGTTCAACTTTTTTTAAAACTGATTATATACTACTAATTAATTAACATATTTGGTACTAATTTACAAGTGTTGCTCCACTTCAATGGGTGGTGCAAGATCTCATGTTCACACTGTAAAGGGAATTTTGAGGATGATGAAGTGAATCCTAAGTAGTCAGAGGTGATCAAACTTTTTTGTAATGTAGTGATGGCCAAGAATGTTTATCATGAGTAACAGTTGCATCGGTTTCTGCTACTTTCAAAAAAACAGATACTTGTATTTCAAAACTTGAGGAGTAAAAAAAATATCTCTGTGATCTGTTACCTTTACACTATTTTAAAAGAAATGAATATAAAATTATCTCCAAAGTAATTATCTAATTAATTGTTAAATTAATCCTGTATCATAACATTTTAAAGGTAATAAGTAAAGCAATTAGATAGGTAAATGAGTTGATGAAACTGTTCATTGATCAGAAACTGCATAGCTCTTTATAAGTTGCAACAGTGCAATGGCAGTTGTTTCATTGAAACAACTATCATAACAGTAGAGCTGTATCTGTTTAATGAAACAGGGTTCTTCAAATGTTTAAATTAAACAGCTTCTGTGTCTGTTTCAGGAAGCTGTTTAGTTAAAGAGATTTAGTGTTTCCCATCGGTGTCACTGTCTCCACTTTTTATACCTGTACTGTGAGATGGCTCGGGTAAGCTCCTAATTTCACCACCGAGTTCATCGATGTCATCATTTTGTTCAGTTTAGAGATCTATTCGATGCCATCAATGAATTCAGTGCTAATTGTAAGAACCTGCCACCTCTTAATAGAAGGTAATCCTTGTATATGTTTAATCTCGTGTGAAACAGTTTACTGTATTTGGTTAATAAAAGAAACTGTTTAAATTAAATTGATTGCTATTAAACAAATCACCACTATTGTAAGGCTCCAACCTCAACTAAAAAGGGTTCATTAGGGGTTTGTTTATCCCTTTTGAGAAAGTGGAAGTCAAAAACATCAATGTAATTAATGCCCCAAATTTAACTGAAAAGTTGGGAGTCACCAGGAGTTTTAATTCACCATCTAAATAAAGGGAAGTTATACTGTTAATATTAGGCCATTCTCAGAATTTCATTTATAGGGAGATCATGATATCATGGTTCACCCATCATAGATAAAAAAAAGTGTAAGTTATCTTATAACTTTATGAATTAAAAAAAAAAAAAAATGAAACAGAAATATTTAAAACAAGGTAATAATTTATATACATATTTACAATTTTATGGGGACTGAACGGATAAGAGGTGATTGAACAGGCTGGATTTAAAGGTGGGGATGATAACCGGAGGAACGGATGTAGGGAGGGATAACATTTGATAAGGATGAAAGCAGCGGTTCAATGTGCCCTTGTATTTATATCTGAAGACCGGGAATCAATTCAGAGGATTTGAATTGAAGAAGCCCGGAGATGTATGAAGGATAAAGCCACTACAGTTCTTCATAAAAACGGGGGACAGAGGCATCCCATGGGATCCCAAAGATGAATTGTACAAAGCAATCTATCAAACGTTTTAGTTTCACCTCAAGATCTCCAGACATGCCTCCATATACTTTACAGCAATAGTCGAAGTATGGAAATATTAAGGAAGTGATCAGGAGTTTACGGGTTTCAAATGGAAATAACTGGTGGAGGTAATTTATACGTTTTAGGGTGGAAATAGTATAAATTACCTTAAAAAGGCATGACGGGAAATATTGGATATATGGTCATTTCAAGAAAGGGTTTGGTCAAAGGTTCTTAACAGTAGGATTAAATTTGATGGGAATATGATGTAGGAACAGGGTTTTGATTTTAAGAACAGTTTTAAAGAGGTGATTTGGGCCTATCAAAATGGCCTTGGTCTCTGCATTCAACTTTAACTTGTTAGCTTCTACCCATTCATAGATTCTATTTAAATCCTCTTGAATTTGTTGTTGGCTGCTAATAGTTCAGAAGGGGAAAAGGTCAGGTATATTTGGAAATCATTAGCATAAATATGGTATGGGGAGGATTGGATCAGAAAGGGAAGGTTGTTAATGTAAATAGCAAACAGAGTAGGAGATAGGGAGGGTCACCACAAGAGAGGGGAAGTGTTAAGACAGGATGTTGACCTGGGATGACTACATACTGGGATCTATCTGAAAGAAAGGATTTTAACCAACGTAGAACACTGTTGGATAGAAAGAGCGGCAGGGTAATGCATGTTCACTGCACCACACATTCTCCGGGAACCTGATAACCGAAGTTTTGAGGAAAAAATAATTATGGGTTCGCGTACCATTGCCGGGAAGTGTTTTTAACTCTGGCATTAATTTCCCACCCTTACCCCCTGGCCCGAGCAAAACCAAATCCCATATAAGCCTTCAAGGTGAGGAAGAAAAGAACAAAAAAAATAAAAATAAATAAAACTTGGATAGATGAGGATTTTGCAGTTTAGTGAGAAGGATGTTTTAGTCAACTGTGTCAAATGCTTTGGAAAAATCTAGGAGAATAAAGATAGTAAGTTTTTGGAGTTCAATGGCGTTTTGGAATTGAATGGCAGATAGAGAGATAGTGACTGCAATTGCTGTTGACATTTTAGTAAATTACCAATGAAGTTTTGGTAGTTTTTTTACTAAATCTTATATATATATATATTTTTATATTGTCCCTATAGTTATTAAAAAATAAATAAATATATATATATATATATATATATATATATATATATATGTGTGTGTATATATATATGTATATTTATTTATTTTTTAATAACTATATAGATGATCTAACCCAGCGAATAGTTAGATAGTTAGACAGTAGAGTAGTTAAAACTTTAGATTGACATAAATGTCTGTTCTTTAACAATGTGTCAACAGTATATTACCATATCAATGCATATAAATAGATTCCATGGCTAGAAGTTTTAATTTCATTATGATTATATTTTAATTTTTGTTTTTTTAAATGCTTTTCTGAGAAATACATTCTCATTTCAAATCCTTACTTCCTCTAGTTTCACTTTTAGAATCAGTGTACTTCATGCTTGAAGGTTATTTATATATGTTTATGTATATAAACCTCTATATGCTACCTTGACCTCTTCCCGGCTATCTCCCTCTGGTTTCTCTCCTAGGACATCATTTAATGACTTTTTCTTTTCTTACATTTCCCCCACAGACCTTTTATCTGTGGTAATGAAATCGAGCACTAATTCCACTGGACCAGATGACATTCCCATCAAATTAATAAAACTATGCCTTCCTGAAATTCTCCCGGTTCTCCTCCTCATATACAATTTCTCCCTCCTCAACTCAACATTTCTGACATTGTGAAAAAAAGCCATTATCCTTCCTCAAATTAAAATCTCAAGCCCAACTTCTCCTGCAGATTTCCACCCAATCTGAATCCTTTCCAATCTCTCAAAACCTCTGGAAAGACTAGTAGAATCCCAAGTCTCCAACTTTCTTGAAAAATCCAATCAATTTGATCTTCTCCAATCTGGTTTCTGCCCCGGCTACTCTATGCAATCAGCCACAATTAAAATTATCTGTGATTTTCAAGCTTCTATTATTGAAAACAAATTAACTGTCCCTATCCTCCTTGACTTCTCCAAAGCTTTTGACTCTAATTATCATTCAATCCTCTATTAAAAACTAAAATCATTATCCTTCACCAACAGTTCCATCTGTTGGTTTCAATCTTTTCTATCTCAATGTTCCCAAGCAGTTTACATCTGTAATCAACTGCTTTCCTCCTATCTTTCTCCTCAAGCTTCTGGCATATCTCCTCTTCTTTTTATCGCCTATGTAAACGATTTTCCTAAATC